GATGGTGTTAAAAGTGCAACTCCAATTGATATCACACTTTAAAGGTTTATTCTATACACCTTAGCATCATTTGGTAGTAATTACTCTCCCACAATTCTAATCTATGCATATGTGCGAGTTTCAAACCAAATACTCTAGCACATATGTAGGGGGAGCTAATACTACCATTTTGGGATTGTGGTACTTGTCCAAAATCATTTACACATGGTAAAGTTGCTTGGGCAAGCAACATGAATCCAAAAGAGCTTAATTTCCATATCTTTATAGAGTTATCATCAATTACCAAAAATGGGGAGATTGAAAGGTCCTTGTGTGGTTTTGGTAATTGAGTGACAACCTAGGTGGACAAATTATGTTTATGTGAGATACATAGGTAATTAGTCCACGGGTACATGTGTGTGAGCAACATATGCCATAAAGGTGGAAATAGCTCAGAGATGTTGCAAAGCTCACACATGTGATGATGAAGGAGCTCATTACACATGAGACATGACATTGAGTCATGTGATCAAGGTGGAGAAGATCAAGACATGACTTGGCTCGACGGACCGGTTGCAAGTGTGAAGGGTAAGTTGAGTGATGACTTGGCGCCAATGGACCGAGACAACGGTGAAGAGCAAGTGAAGTCAAGATCGATGAACCAATATGATCACGTGATGATATGAAGTGGATCATATCATTATTGATCATGTTGGTGCATGTGTTGCATCAACATTGGAGGAGATGGAATGGAATGCGCAAGGCAAAGGTATAACCTAGGGCATTTCATTTCACCGGTCATAGGTGTGTAGAGAAGTTGATGACCGGGTTTAGGATAGATGGTCGTACTATCAAGAGGGGCAAACTTGTTTGCATATCGATCATCTAGTGCCACTTGAGTGATCTAACTTTGCATCATCGTTAGGATCGAGTGGCGTGGCAAGTTGAGTGGCTAATCCTTTGAAAATGTTTGTGAAAAGCTAACACACATACATATGGTGGTGTACACTTGGTGGTGTTGGCACATTTGCAAAGGAGAAGAAGTTAGAGTTGATGAGGATCAACTCGGTGAAGAAAAGGAGGCAAAAAAAGGTCACTTTGAGTGACCGAACACTGGCCTCGGCAAGACCGGCGTGTCCGGTCAGTGGCAGCAGTTGAGCGCACGGTCTCAGTCATATGACCGGACGCTGGCGCGAAGAGGTGACCTGACACGCAGAGGCTGCGTCCGATCGGTCGTGACATACGCTGATGTCTTGGTGCGAGAAGCAGCAGTGACACGTGGCAGGCGGTGAAGGACCAGACTCAGGTGCTGCGTCCGATCGCGACCAACCTGACACGTCCGGTCGCAAAACAGAGGCTCGGGGAGCTCTCTGGAAACGACTGGACTCTGGCTAGTCTGCTTCCGGTCTTGCAGAAGCGGACGCGTCCGGTCGCAAAATAGAGGCTCGGGGATCTCTCTAGAAACAACCGGACTCAGGCGTTGCAGCGTCCGGTCATCCTCGTTGTGCTGCATCCGGTCGTCGTGTGACCGTTGACGCGCGAAGTTACCTTTGAGATCGGGCGACTCCAGTTGAACGCAGAGCGACACGTGGACGGCGTAGCGTGACCGGACGCTGGCAGGGTGCGTTCGGTCGATCTGACCGGCGCGTCCGGTCGCCTCGAGCAGTGCCCAGTAAAGGGGTACAACGGCTCTATTTTTGTGGGGGCTGTAAATAGAAAGGGTCTCAGCCTTGGCTGAGACAGAGTACCTTGGGGGACTTTGTGTCCATACTTGAGAGTGCTTAGGAGCCCTCCATCTCACATATGTTTGGTAGTGATCATTCGATTTTGTGAGATAGCGATTCTAGTGTGATTGCATCGAGTGGCACTAGGTGATCGAGTTGCAAGCTGGTGATGCTTGTTACTCTTGGAAGTTGCCACCTCTTACACGGCTTGGTGGTGGTCTCCGTCGAAGCCCGCAAGAAGCTTGTGCGGTGCTCCGAAGAAGAGCTTTGTGAGGGACATTGTGCTCGCCCCGCGGGAGCCGCGAAAAGCAACTCTAGTTGATGATGTCATTGAGCTACCCTCACTTTCGGGGTAGATTCTTGTGGTACCCGACGTGCGGGCTTGGCGGGTGATCCCAATTAGCCGCCGAACCACCAAGTGAGCGGTCGACACAACGGTGACGTAGTGTGTTGGCAAGCACGTGAACCTCAGGAGAAAATCACCGTGTCAACATTGTTCTTCGCGTTGGTTTGCAATCCCCTTATATAAGCTTGTAATTTCTTTCATATACATTGTGCTTGTGTAGTTACTCTTGTAATTAGTTAGCTTGTGTAGTTCACTAGTTACCTTCTTGCTTGTGTAGCATAGAAGTAGCTCTCTTGCGTGGCTAATTTGATTTGTGTAACCTTTTTAGTCACATTGGTTAGTTTATGTAGCTAAGTATTTACGCTCTTTAATTTGATATTGGTTGCCTTGTTATTGAGCATTGCTAATGAGCTTGAGAGCTTTGTGCTTTTGCTTAATAGAATTGTGTAGGAGCTCTCCGGTGTGCAAAATACTAGTGGCATAGGTTTGTGTGACCTTGCTCCTAGAATTGTTTAGGTGAGCTCTAACTAGCCCGGCATCTTTGTTGCCTAATTAGGATCCTTTATAAGGTGCTTGTGAACTTCGATAGAGGGGTGTAGTCATGGCTAGACCGATTATTTTAATTCCACATTTGTTTCGGTTAACTAGTGCGATTAAATTTAGAAATGACTATTCACCCCATCTAGTCCGTCATCTCGACCTTTCACTGAGGCGCTGGTTAGGGTTACTGCTCCCACGCTATTACGGTCTGCTACATACAATTGCGCCCGCTATATCGCCCGTTGCGGCCCCAAAGTTCCACGCCGCAAACTTCAGAGCGCAACCTGATAGCAGTAGCGGCAATGGGCCGCTACGGCCGCTATTTTGTACTTTGCCCGTAAAACATCAAATTGGCAGGAGCATCTCTGTTCCTTGTACAAAATATAGAAGCACCGTGTGGTCGATCAAAACCGTTAGTTGCAATAAAGTCCGACCGAAGTTGTGCCAAACTTACTCAAATGAATTGGCCCCGTTCGCTGGTCTGAACTTTGGTTGAAACTGGCTGAAAAACACTGTTCCGGCTGAATTGTTGTGAGAGAAAAACACTGTTTCGACTGAAAAAATAAGCCGAACAAGCCAAATTTAAGACAAGCGAACGAGGCCATTATCCACGCACTTGCAGTGAGTCCAGTATGAAACCTACAGCATTACTCGAGAATCACACAGCCTTTTTGCTGGAACGCAGGGAAATTGAAATGAATTATCCAGTATGAAGCTGCTGTGGATAGGCTCGCTCCAAATAAAATGCATGCATGGGCAGAAATAATGTGTACCATCATCAAGTTCGTTCTTTGTGCTGTCTATCCAAATGACGATGCGGCAGGTCCTTGCGCGAAAGGGACGTCCATGGACAGTGAAGTTTACGTGCTAATGTGCACGCTTAATCAACTTGCCGTGTTTGCATTCAAAAAGAGGTGATGGGAATTGGGAATGAAGCATCAGTGGTATGAAAGATATAAAATGGCCAAGTGGGCATGTAAATTAAAAACACAGAAGCATTTTTTTTTCGATGGCCATTAACCTGTTAATTAGCAGCAGTGCTCCTATTCCTCTGCAGTTATCACAAACGCAGAGTGCCATATCTGCCAAGGAAACAGCCTGAATAGACAAGTCCACACGGCTGCCACACCTGAACAAAATGGAGATACCTGAATCGCCCTCATCCTTCTCGGCCGGATCAGGGGATGAGCTAGCAGCCAGTGCCGGCCCCAGGGGTAGGGCACGAGGTGCGATGGCCGAGGGCCCAAGTGAAGGAGGGGTTCAAGCCCCAGGTATATAATCCTCAGGTTCTATAGTCTATTAGTCATTAGCAAACTAATAAGAAGAGAGACATAGAACTGGTCAGGCGGCCAAAAAGATAACATCGGCATTCCTTTCCTAGTTTCCTTTCCTCACGGCCCTCGGGTAGAGAGGAGGCGAGGAGTCACGCTGCACGTAGCACACTCTGATCGTGAGTTCGCGACGTGCGCCTTACACATGCGGAGCTGGCGAGCCGCGCCGCCGTGAAGAGCTAGACTATCGGAGACACGGACACGGCGCACGAGGACGGCGACCAGGCAAGGCTCCACGACGACGACATCTTGATTCTTGACTTCTTACGAATTGCGATCACCGATAAATTGTTTAGGCCCAAGGTATTTTTTTCTTTTTATTTTTAATCCAAATTAATTATTTATATAATATTCTAGATTTCTAGTACTTTATACCTCTATAGTCATATTTTTCTTCTAATTTAGGTATTAGAATTTTAAAATATTACCTAATAAACATTTGTCATGGGTGAGAAAAGAAAACGAATATATTGTTTTTTTAATCTACATTGTTCCTCGATAATTATCATACATCTTCAAACATATTGCTTAATCTACATTGTTCCTCGATAATTATCAGACATGTTAAATTAAAAATATATTATTGAATTTGCTTTTGTTTTGCAAGTAAAATTAGTACCAATATATTATAAAATTTTATACATGGTCAAGAGAGGCTGTTGCGACGAGATCCCTAAGGCATTAAAATCATAGGACCGGCACCGCTACCAGTACACTGAAAACACGTACAGGCCGGCCGTCGGCCGATCAATTTGTTTCAGTTGCATTGTATCTGTCTTGCTTTTCGAAAGATAAAAGTTGTATCGATCTGTCTTGCAAAACCGATCGATCTGCCCTGCACAAGCCGGCAGCCCTGACTGAAGGAGGAGGACACTGCAGGTCTGCAGCAGGAGCACCGAGCACTCCAAAATAGACCAACCAGCTACTGCGCTGCACTACACGATTCATCTCTCAAGCCCCGGCGGCAGGGCCTAGGCCTATATATACACGCAGACGATAACAAGACGTGGCAGGTGCAGCTCGCCGAGCTGGTAGCTCCACTCAACACTCACAACCACTAGCTATTAGGCCGGTAGCGCCATGGCTGCGCCCTGCTGCCATGGCTGCTGGCTGCTCCCCCTGCTCATGCTGCTTGCTGCCGCGGGTGCTCTTGGTGCAGAGGGCGCTTCCCTTGTGCTTGTGCAGCTGGACGTGGAGTCGCTGCTCCCTTCCGCAGCAGCCGCGTCTTGCCCCACGCCACAAGGTCAGTCTGCTTTGCTCGTCACTGATTGGGCCATGCGTGCGCGTGTATTCCTGCTGCATCTCATGCATGGAATATGTCTTCTTCCCATTCACACGAACAAATTCTTTTCTTTTGGTTCGTATTTTAATTAGTACAATTCGTTTCCTTTGTGTCAGTTCTATGTAAGAAGTCGTGATGAATTTGCATACAAAGATGTGTACTATGAAATCTGAATTGAGTTTACTCAACAAAAAAAAGAAGAACAGAGAGTTCAGTAGCATAATTGGAAGAAGTAAGGCACATGAACTAGAAGAAAAAGTTTGTCCGTCGAACTTGTGATTAAATTGTTCTCCAATGCAACTTAGCTCAGCAGGCGATCCAGCATGAAGAATCTGGAGCTATGCGCGTAACTTATCTGTTCAGCTCTTATATGATCCTCAAATATCTAGCACTCATAAGAGAAAACAAGAGAGTATGTTTTTCCTCCTCTCTCTTTTTTTTTTAAAAAAAACAAGTTTCTAGGTACGATAGGGACGGGCAATAGTGCAAACTGGAGAAACATTTAAGTGAAAGAAGTAAAATGACCCCCCAAAAAAATTTAACAACCCAAGTTAAACAGCAGCTTCATGTAACTGTAGAAGTTCAGTGTCAAAACATTCTATTTTGATCATTCTACGTACTGGGTGAATGACCTTGTGCTGTAACAGAGTTGTCTGCTGTCCTTGTCGAAATGGCCAGCTAGAAGCTAAAGCAATGGCTAACATGCTAAGCCCATACAGAGAATGATAATAACCAGCCACTAGATACAAAAACACGTTTCATGTCTGAAAATGATGTGCTTGTTTTCTTCAGTACCGTTTCTCCAATAAAACCGATTTTTTCCACTGCATAAATTGCGAGGTTTTCTAAACTGTTCACTCAAAGATTTAAAATTTTCTAAACAAGTACGGTTTCTAAATTAATCTGTAACTGCAAGTGAAAGTTCTGAACTTGTTTCTGACCATCATCTCAAATCGAACCGAACGAACATCTGTACCTGAAATTCAGAACAAAGGCCTGGGGCTGCGACGGCCACGAGGATGCCCATCGTGCACCAGCACGGCCCGTGCTCGCCGCTGGCCGACAAGCACGGGAAGAAGGCGCCGTCCCACACGGAGATCCTCGTCGCGGACCAGCGCCGCGTCGAGTACATCCATCGCCGTGTGTCCGATACCACCGGGCGGATGAGGCGGCAGAAGCAAAGCGCACCAGTGGAGCTCCCGCCCGGCACGCCGTCGTCGTCGACCCCCGCGTCGTCGCTGTCGTCCTCCGCCACGTCGACGAACCTGCCGGCGTCGTCCGGGCGCGCGCTGAACACGGGCAACTACGTGGTGCCCATCCGCCTCGGCACGCCGGCGGCGCGGTTCACGGTGGTGTTCGACACCGGCAGCGACACGACGTGGGTGCAGTGCCAGCCGTGCGTGGCCTACTGCTACCGGCAGAAGGAGCCCCTCTTCAACCCCACCAAGTCCACCACCTACGCCAACATCTCTTGCACGTCGTCCTACTGCTCCGACCTCGACAGCAGCGGCTGCTCCGGCGGCCACTGCCTCTACGCCGTCCAGTACGGCGACGGCTCCTACACCGTCGGCTTCTACGCCCAGGACACGCTCACCCTGGGCTACGACACCGTCAAGGTACGTACGTGACTGATGATGGGCCTCGCCATGGCATGTCCTGACAGATGACACGTGTGCGTGCACTGTACTGTACATGCAGGACTTCCGGTTCGGGTGCGGCGAGAAGAACCGCGGGCTGTTCGGGAAATCGGCGGGGCTGATGGGCCTCGGCCGCGGCAGCACATCGCTGCCGGTGCAGGCGTACGACAAGTACAGCGGCGTGTTCGCGTACTGCATCCCGGCGACGTCGGCCGGGACGGGGTTCCTGGACTTCGGGCCGGGCGCGCCGGCGGCGGCGAACGCGCGCCTGACGCCGATGCTGGTGGACAACGGGCCGACGTTCTACTACGTGGGGATGACGGGCATCAAGGTGGGCGGGCACCTGCTGTCCATCCTGGCACCGTCTTCTCCGACGCCGGCGCGCTGGTGGACTCCGGCACGGTGATCACGCGGCTGCCGCCGTCGGCGTACGAGCCGCTGCGGTCGGCGTTCGCCAAGGGCATGGAGGGCCTGGGATACAAGACGGCCCCGGCGTTCTCGATCCTGGACACCTGCTACGACCTGACGGGGTACCAGGGGGGGAGCATCGTGCTGCCCGCGGTGTCGCTGGTGTTCCAGGGCGGCGCGTGCCTGGACGTGGACGCGTCGGGGATCCTGTACGTGGTGGACGTGTCGCAGGCGTGCCTGGCGTTTGCGGCCAACGACGACGACACCGACGTGACCATCGTCGGGAACACGCAGCAGAAGACGTACAGCGTGCTGTACGACCTCGGCAAGAAGGTCGTCGGCTTCGCCCCAAGAGCTTGCTGATCCGGCCATGAATCATGAATAAACCCAGATCACCTGCATCCACCAAAGTGGTCAGCAGTGATCAGTGGTACAGAAATACAAATTGAAGATTACGATGTCCTCACCCCTCATCGTGACTGTAAGATGGTACACTTTGTTTGACAAAAGAAGGACCGGGCAAATTTAAAACCCTTTTAGATAGTTTTTCGGCGCTGCTAGCACCCGGACGTCTGGGTCCGGCCCTTGGCTGACGTCCGAAGGCAGCTCTCGGTCATCGTTCGAGCACCATCATATTACACGACTTCCACCACAACAGGAGAGTGCAGCGCGACGCCGCGCACCGCACCTTGCCACGCAACTTCCTCCGCAACCGGAGCATGCGGCGCGACGCTGTGCTCCGTCCCTTGTAGGGGCGGGTTCAACGCGGGGGGAGGGGGGGGGGGGCTCGAGCCACCCCTACCGATACCGGAGCCCTGGAGCCCCCGTTCTATCGTGTAGGTGGAGCGGAGATTTAAGATCAAACAACAGTCAGAGGTATATTGCTGTTGCACTTTTGTTCAGCCCCCTAAAATTTTCCCTCGATCCGCCGCTGGTCCCTTGCTGCACCCTGCGCCCCCATCCCTTGCTGCGACCGATGGACCCGAGGAGAGCTCGAGCGACGTCTACAACGGGGTTAGGTTCTCGTATGCCATGTGCCTGCTGCACACATCCGGCACATGACAGAGACGACAAGAAAAAGAGGGGGAGAAATAAATATTTGTACTGCAACAACAAACGATAAAGCCCTGTTCGCTTCGCTGAAAAGCCAGGCTGAAAAATACTATTGACTAATTTGTTGTGGGAGAAAACACTGTACCACATGATTAGCCAAGCTGATAAGTTCAAGTCTCATAGAAGCCAGAGATAAGAGCAAAATTATTAGTTTCTATCTCCTCACAACATGTTTCATTTAAAAGATTTTCGAAACAAATCAAGACATTAACCACAACATTCATGAGTTGCTATTAGAACATCTCAAAAGCACATGTTGCAACATATAGGAGAAAAAAGACCATGTTTGCAACGTCAAAACGATTCAATCTCAACAATAGAAAGCTACACTTAGGAACAACAGAAAAAAAAAATGGTTAATCAATAGGCAAAATAACCTGTTACTGCATCTCAGTTTTATTGCTGCAACATGATAAATGATTTATTGTAACATCTCATTTTGTTTACTGCAACATGGAAAACCAACAAAATGCAATATCCAATAGCCAGCTACTGGAATATCAAAATAAAGCAGATGCAACATCTCTAACCAACATGAGAAAATCATTGCTTACTGCAACACCAAGAAATCATCACCTAATGCAACACCGAACATTCATAAAATGCAACATGCTAGTTTTATTACAACAAAGTGAGCAACCATCTACTGAAACATCTGAAATTATTGTGGAAACATGAGAAATCTTCTGATACAACATAGAAAACAACAAATACAATATCCCAAAAACCATATGTTGAGAAACTGTGGTCCTAGATCCAAAGAGGAGGTTGTGGATCTAGGCCTCCCTGAGCAACACAAGATGTCTGGCTTGGAGCACAAGGATAGCTGCAACGGATGGGCTTGTAATATGCCGACTTGCCAATGGAGAAAGGTGGAAGAGCGCACGCGCGGAGAGAGAGAGAGAGAGAGAGAGAGAATGTTGTTTGCTCACCATTCAGGCGAGAGCTGTCGCCGGAGAGGGAACTAAGCTGGTGAGGGGCGTGGTGGAGAGGAGCAGTCAGCGAGCGGCCGCAGTGGAGAAAGCGGCCGGTGCCGGTCGGACGGCCAACGGCAACGACACAGGAACTTATGGGCAGCGCTGAGCGAACTGTAAGAAAAAAAATCAGATGGAAGTCTGAGAGATTGGGGAGAATAACTGGTAAGGACCTATGGATAAAGATGAAAAACTGTTGGGCCGTTCGGACCCGGCTACGCTATGTTCGATAAATCAAAGTAGACACCCGCTTCCTATCAATTTTGATAGTTTTTCACTATCTTATAACTCCCTCTGTGTACGAGAAGCATGTAGCCTGTTTGTTTGGGCTTGTTTGGCTTAATAAGCCGTACTTTTTCAGTCAACGAATAGTATTTTTCTCTCACATCAAATCAGCCAACAGTACTTTCGGCCATGACTTATTAGTCATGCAAGCCCAAACAAAAGGTAGCAGCTGGCGGGGCGGTACACCAAAGCCGAAAGGGGCCGGGAGTGCGGAATCAACGCGGCTGATGGACCATCGGATTGAGGTTGAGGGCATCCCGACGTGCCAGGATCCTTCCCTTGTACCGTGGTCTAGCGCCACCGTACGTCCGTACCTACTGGTAGTGTGCAGCCACCGCCGCTCCTGAGCTCCTCCTTGGCTGCCTTTGGTCCAACGTCCAAGGCCCATAGTGCCCATGTCCCTTTCATCATTTTTACTAGTACTTGTTATTCTTGCATTTTCTCAATTGATTTTGGACATATGTCTCATTTACATGACATTTACTCCTACTTTAATATGGGTCCAATCGTATCCAACTTAACCTGGGCCTAAACACCTGTATATCATCTCATCAAATATGTTAGTTCCCTAACCATGTTATGAATTAATCCATCAAAGCTAACTTACAACTCCGATGCGAGTCCATTGTTCTATTGCAACTCTTATATCCAACTCCCCCTCCTTTCTCGGCAAGCAAAGGACAAAGTGGAGAAGGTAGCAGATGAGGCTAAGTCATTGGGGACCTGCGCACTATTCGCTTCGCTTATAAGCCGTACTTTTTTAACCAACGAACATTATTTTTCTCTCATAACAAATCAGTCAACAGTACTTTCAGCCATGGCTTATCAGCCAAGCGAACAGGGCACTGATCCCGCCAACCAATGAACAAATATTTTTGAAATCGTGAATGTGGCATAGACTCAATTCTCAAAGCAACCTTAAGCAACCGTAAATCGAAATTGATGAGAACTCACTCCGAATGAATGATTTGGAGAGGGGATCCATTACGGACGTATGTCAAAATCATTCATTTGCGTTTGAATCCCTTCTTGTTCATTTCCTTTTTCCTTTGTTTTTCGTAATTAAAGTTTCTTAGCTTTTTAATTAAAAAATTCCTATTTAAAGATAAAGGGAAAATCCTAATTAAAGTTTTTTTTTCTTTTTTCCTTATTTGTTTTTTTTCACTTTGCTTTTTAGTCCCTTCTTGTTCATTTTCTTTTCCCTTTTTCATATTTATCCTACATGTGTTTGCTTCTACATGTTATAAACATTTTTTATGTTGAGAGGTCCATGCCGTAAAAATATGTAAAAGTTGTGCTAAGTAAGTTTTTCCAAAACATGCTAAAAACAACAAAAACTTACGTTTGTGAGTTTATTTGTATAAGTGGTGTCTGTAAGTCTTATGATAAGTTTATCCGTGAGAATTTATGCATAAAAACATGTTCAAAATTGTGATTGTTAAACGTTTTCATGATAAGTTATCCACAAAAGTATGTATTGTTAGAAACATACCCAAGCAGGGGATACAATACGAAGAGATGAAGAACTAGGGTAGGTTTTTAGAGAGTGGGGTGGAACCATCTCCTTGCCTTTGCCTAATTAGCCTTTGTGCTCAAATGGTTTTAACGGTTTGATTTTTTCAATTGGGCTTGTTCTAGCTTGATGCTAGCAAGCATCAAGCAATTTTTCTTTACTTTGGATTCTAGGAAGTAGCTGTTTGGTCTGGCTTGGAGTGGGTTGCATTAGTCTGATTCCAAATGGGTTCGTCCCTTTCTAAATCAGCAACACAACCCAATCTCTCTTCGGCCATATACGTTGCACTCTGCTTTGCCCTACACCGCTACCACACCTCATCTCAGACATGGTGGCCAACGTGGATGAAGGGATAGCACGATGCAATATACGTTGCACTCTTTCTGTTTCCTTTCTTTCCCCTTCGGAGGGCAGGGTCGGTGAATGTCGCCAGCATCCTACCAGGATGTCGAATGATGATTCAGCAGAACAGGATATGAGCTTGTTGTATGTTTTTGTTCTTTTTTGTCGCTTATAGGCGAAAGCGATAAAATGGAGTATTATTAGGTGTTGACATCTGTATGTGGATTTACTCATTTTATGTTTGTCAGATATATACAAGTTTTCTTATCATTTCTTGGCTAATTATAAAGGTGTAATGCATTGTTGGGTTTTTAGGGGTGTCCTGTCGATGGTATAGTATTGCTAATTATGTTTATAGATTTACTTTTTGGTTTAAATTAGCTGCCGAAGTTATTGAGGTTGCATGCTAAATCTTTAATGTAGTACGAGTGCCTCACCACCCTGAATAAACAATTGCCACTTCAATAAATCATGCCCAAACAGTATTGAGTAGGTTTAATAGTGTTTACTGTATAAAAAACTAGGAATATATCCAGCAGCCATAATTTTTTTTCTGGGTTTAATGTTCTGAATAAATGCACCATACTGTCTGCAATAATAATAAATATTTCAGTTTCAAACTCCTTATTGGGAAACGGATCTACTTGGGTGTGTAGTTTTTCTGCCTTGTACGTTGTGAAAAATACGTCATGAGCCACGATATACATACTGAGATTCACCCTAAATAATTGCAAATGTAAATAATCGTTATCTTTGTCCATGCAGATTGCTGAGCGAAAATGGGAGTGGCAGGTCACAATGATCCATTGTTAGGTGAAACAACATGTGGGTCTTTGCTGCAGCAACTTCAGGTGCTTTGCTAGTTTTGGGATAGTTCATATTCAAGTAAAAAAAAAGTATTTTCCTTCTATTTATTCTTTTAAGAGCTGTGCCTTGGAACAGTAGTAACATAAAACCATTCTAACCCATTATCTACATTAAGAGTTAAGATAGCATTTCTAAGAGTAGTAGGATCAACAAGTGACTGATATGTGTTATTTCAGCTGATATGGGATGAGGTTGGTGAAAGCGATGAAGATCGCGACAAGATGTTACTTCAGCTAGAGCAGGAGTGCTTAGATGTTTATAGGAGAAAGGTTGATCAGGCTTCTACCTCTAGGTCACGTCTCCTCCAACAGCTTTCCAACTCCAAATCGGAACTGACTAGACTCCTCTCTGCGTTAGGAGAGTCAATCTATTTCTGGCATTGTAAGTATCTGAGAAAATGTATTTGTGAATGCAGTAAACATTTTCTTTAAAGCAGAATACTAGAACTTGTAGAACAAGTTTTGGGACACAGTAGACTGCAATGTGTAATTTATTCATTTATTGCTACAATATAGTACTGTGTAGATTTAAGTTTGTTATCCATTTATACTGGCTCCTGATTACCTATGTCATCAGTATTTAAGTATTTACCCAGTTGATAGATTTTTGCTCATGTTTCTTTTATGTTTTGATATATTATATGTTCAATTATGATGTCATTCCCCTAATACAGGGCTCATTTCTCTTTGCTTCTAATTTTGCAGCCTGACAAGACATCTGGTACAATCAAGGAGCAGCTAGCAGCTATATCACCATCTTTAGAAATACTCTGCAGGAAAAGAGAGAGTAGGGTAAAAGAGTTTGCTGATGTGCAACTTCAGATTCAGATACTTCGTGATGAAATCGCTGGGAATCTACATCTTGGTGAACACTTGAAACACCCCATGTCAATGAGGATGATATTTCAGTGATGAAATTAATTGAATATCTTTCTGAACTACAAGCCCTGCAAAAGGAAAAGGTTGGGCATAACACTTTCAAAATGACAGACAATATTCCTTTGATATAGCTGATGATCATCCTACTAGTATCTTTTTGGACTTCTAAAAATGAACCGACGTGAATGGTACTTCCTAATACTTTTCCCCATTGCAGAGTACTAGGCTCCGCAAGATTCTTGAATCTGTGAGTTCAGTGCATGATCTCTGTTCTGTACTTGGCATGGATTTTGTGGGAACTGTTACTAAAGTTCATCCAAGTCTTGATGACTCTGTTGGTGTTCAATCCAAGAGCATCAGTGATGAAACAATATCCAAGCTGTCTAAAATGGTGATTGTACTTCAAGAAGAAAAATCAAAGAGGTTTGCAAAGGTAAATATGTGCAATGAGCTTCTTGATCTTTATTATGCATACCTTTTGAATCTGAGATATATTTGAGTTGTGGATACTATCTCTGCTTATCAATATCAATGTGCTTTCTCAGATTCAAGCCCTAGCTTCCCAGCTATCTGATCTTTGGAACTTAATGGATGCTCCTGTGGAGGAACGACAACCTTTTCATCATGTCACATGCAATATGTTCTCAACATTGGATGATGTGACAGTTCCAGGAGCCCTGGCTCTTGATGTAATTCAGCAGGTTAAAAACTGGTTTCTTTTCAGAGTGTTCATTGGTCTTGTTAAATAGCATTCTGTTGTCTGTGTGTTAATAACTATCCTTGCACTTTCAAGGCTGAACTTGAAGTTGAAAGGCTTGATGAGCTAAAAGCTAGTAGGATGAAGGATGTTGCATTCAACAAACAGACTGAACTTGAAGATATATATGCCCGGGCTCATGTTGCAATAGATTCTAGTGCTGCAAGAGATAGGATAATGTCTATTATTGAGTCCAGTAGTTTTGAGCCTTCAGAACTACTGGCTGACATGGAGAACCAGATACTTAAAGCAAATGAGGAGTCCTTAAGCAGAAAGGACATACTGGAGAGGGTCGATAGGTGGATGTCAGCATGTGAAGAAGAAAGCTGGCTTGAAGACTATAGCCGGGTATTTAAAATTGATTCTGCTACTTATGCTGCTTATTCATTTTTGTGATTTGCGTCTCATGGAAGATGCCAAGCTGTAATTTGTCTCCTGTACATATTGCAATACTTGAAATTGCATTGTTTTATATACTTTCCATTGCCTTCACTTGCTGTCCTATCACAAGGCCCTGACATCTATGCTTTCTTAATTGCAGGATGATAACAGGTACAGTGCAACTCGGGGTGCACATCTGAAGGTCAATAAAATTCCAGGTATGTTCTGAACATGAACAGGATGTACATGTACTTTACCTGCTGGCTATGCTTGCTCACGTGACATTGGAATTTTGTAAGACAATATTATTCATGGCTTGAGCTAACTTTTGATGAATACCTTTGATGTTTTTGTCACGCTAGCTATTGTCGACACACTGGTTGCAAAGACCCGGGCATGGGAACAAGAGCATGGCATGGCGTTCACCTACGACGGCGTTCCTCGTCTTGCAATGCTGGATGAATACAAAATCCTGAGGCGGGAGAAGGAAGACGAGAAGCGAAGAATAAGGGTATATACATTCTCAGTGCGCAAAGCCTGCTGCTTCCTGTGACTGGTTCATGAGCCACAATCTAATCTAATCACTTTATTACCTTTCATCAGGACCAGAAAAAGATTGAATGATCAGCTGGCCGCTGAACAGGAGAAGCTGTTCGGGTCAAAGCCGAGCCCCTGCACGGCCCCAGTCGTCCTCAAGGAAGGTGGCTGGCGCACGGACCAGCGGTGTCGGTGGTGCTGCCAATGGCACGCCAGTTCGCAGGCTGTCGGCCCTCCAGAGCGGCGCAGGACAGCGAGCCGGGATGGGAGGAGGATGCCAGCAGACCCGTGGCCCCCGGTGAACTACGTCGCCATCGCCAAGGAAGATGCGACCTCGCAGGCGTCCAGCAACTGAATTGGTTGGTAGTAACTGAACTGTTGTGGCCGTGTTTTGTTTAGATACAAGTATACCATTGCAGTGCAGTAGTAAGAGCTATAGTACCTTTGCAGCCTGATTGGTGGTGGAATGGTGGTGCCGTAGATCGGATGTACGTACTCTAGGTACAAACGGAGCTGGATATGGTCTATCACATTATCAGTTATCACTCTGTGGTTGCTCCTTGTCGTGTGTAGCGAACTTGTTCTCGTGTATGTAGCCGTGACGCTTTTGCTCGTCGCCGAGTTGGTGACAGGAAATGCTGAGTTACAGAGACCGGCATTTGATACGACGTGTTACGCGTGTAGCGAGGAACTTTACATGACTGACGCGACACAGACAGCAGATAGGAACCGTACAGTCTTAGACTGGTGCGAGCCCAAACAAATCGTCAGCTGCTCCAGGTAGCAGCGTTGCAAATCCCTTCCAAATCTATGTACAGAGCAGGTGGACGCAAGGCTCCGTGTCCGTCTGTCCGTCTCAGTAATCCGTGGGAGGTTGGCAAGCGTCGAAGTCGAAGCCGCCGGCGTCGAGTGGGTCCTGTGCGGCGCCTGCTCCACTCGGTGGTGCCCTTCTTGCTCACCTGCGCGTTATCACAAATCAGCGGCAATTGGAACTACATACGGTCGGTGAAGAATACGAAGGGATCATCAGTTACGTTACCTTGTGTGATCTTGCCTGAAAGCGGTGGTGGTCCGACGCCGCCGCCTGCTTCCGGCGCGGCAGGTTTCGGCCGCCCTTGAGCCGGCTCTTGCCGCCCGGCGGCTTATGGCAGCTGAGCCCGCTCCGGGCACCACCAGCACCACCGAGGCTGGAGGAGCCGTCGAAGCTGACGACGGAGACGTCGTTGGAGCCGCAGCTCTCCTTCTCCTCGACGGCGAGGTCGTTGTTCCGCCTCCTGACGACCACCACCCGCCGGTGCCCCGCCGCCGTGGCCGAGGCCGTGTCCGCGTTCCGGCTCATGCAGTCGTCCGCCGCGGGCTCCGCCTGCCGCGTCGCCATCCACCGCTCCAGCCAGCTCCACCCCACGTTGAACTCCCCCTGCTCCGCCCGCGCCGTCCGCTTCTTACTGCTGCCGCCGCCGCAGCTCCGGAGCTAGACAACAAGAATCGCCATCAGCGCTACCTCTCAGCGGTCAGCGCATGCATCATGCACTCATTCAGCTTCACGACGCTCATTCAGCACCTACCTGCTGCGAGAATGCGTAGGCGAGGGCTCTCTCGCGCCGCGTCGTCGCCTCGATCCTGCTCTGGATCCGCATCCTCGACACGTTGGAGCTCACCGTGCTGTCGTCCCACTCCTCCTTGACTCTGAACGCTGGCGGCGGCGGCGGAGGGCGCGACCTCTGGTTGGACCGCTGCTGCTGCACCGACGCGCTCTCCTCGCTCAGCCGGAGGTTGCTCAACGGCTCGCCTACCTGGACCAGCACCGACGTCGCAACGGACGCCCAGGTGGGGCTCCTGGTGGGCTCTTGTTGGGAGCCGTCCGTTTCTTCTTGCTCTTGGCGCGTCCTCAGCTCCTGCAGCTGCCTCCTCGCCTGCGGTCCAGCAAATTTAGTTTAGTTCAGTTTAGTTTGCTTTTTTCTATTAACCGGAATTAGTTTAGTTTCAGAAGCTAGAAATTCACACCAGGAAGCCTCTAACGCAGACTGGATCAGCGTTGCTGCTCCCTCTTCTTTCCTGGCCGGCACGACGACGTTGCAGTGGCTCTGCTCGCCACCAGGGACCCTGCTTCGATCTTCTGCAGGCTCCCCAGGGTTGTCGTCCACGGTGTTGTCCGCGTGGCTCATCAAACGATGATCCACCACCGGGACGACGTAAGCCCTCGTCCGGCGGCATCACGCAGCAGGTCTCGAAGCTCTTGACGGACACCGTCTCGCCGTCGTCGTCCTCCTCCTCCTCTGCGGCCGCGTTCATCTCCTCGCCGCAGAGGTACAGCCGTAGAGAGCTCCATCTCCTCCTGTGATCAGCAGCAGACCCTTCTCCTGCGACGACCATGCTCATGCAAGCGTCATCAGTCCGAACAAGTGACTGTGTGTGTGAAGAATGATCTCCTTTTTTTTTTTTTTTTGCACTCGAGTAGAGTAGCAGGAAGTCACGAACACACATCTGCTGGTGTCGGCGACAGAGGGGGATCGGAGGAAGAGATCGTCTGTAAGAGAAAAAGCACGTACACTGTGGCCACGGCTGCCGCCGGCGGACGAGCAAGGGCTCTTGAGAAGACCCTCCGGACAATGCCGCCGGTGAGACCCATCTCTCCGCCCGGGCACGGGGCACCAACCTCGGGTACTGGTATATAAATCTCAGTGGCTCACAGTCTCGCTCGCTTGTGCACTCACTCCACAGTACCAGCCTGCTGGCTACTGCGTTAGGGCCGTGCAGTGCAGCCGTCCTGCACCGCACTGGCTTCCCCTTATAGCAAGGTAGCAACAGGCCAACCGCCACGGGCAAAATGGCTAAAATCAAAGATGACATGCTTTGAGTGAGCAAGCAAAGCTCCCCTCCTCCCCCTCCCTAGCGAGATGTGCTTTGGTGCAATGCAATGCACACTTTGGTGTAAAAGCGCACTCGTCTGATTGGTGGATCCGTGCAGAAAATGTGCAGCACAGGCCGGCGTTGTTTCGTTTCCATGATGAGAGAGAGGAGGCCCCATGTGTTAGTTTTATTTGGCCTGGCAGAGGCAGAGCCAGCCGTGAGGCTTTAGAGCTGGAGGAGGCGAGGCGAGCATCTCGTTTGGAGTAACCTGCTAAAAAGCAACGCTCTGCTATCCTCACACAGTGACGCTCACCGTCAGGCTGCATTGGCATCCTCTGTTGCTTCAGCTGATGGCCTAACAGATACTGTATGTAGTAGCAATCGATCTATTAACTCGGTAGAAAAAAAAAGCTTAAATCGGGTTTTCAAGCTCACAAGCCTCGTTCTTGGTGTCCCGGAAGCCAAACCTTTCGGCATACCACAATGTACAACAACTAGTGCTGAAAACCTCGGTGAGACTCACCCAAGACTGAAACCTGTCTGTCGGCACGACCAGAATCCCCTTGTTGTCAAGCTAGCAATTCGAAAAGAATGCTGCAAAAAAGGCACAGGAGATTAAAGGTTCTAGACGCGCACCTCTCTCTCACTCTTTTTCACTGAGCCGTCACATGGCTTTCTGTCGGACGGACCTACCTAATCCAGTCCCTGTTGCTTGCTTGCGCCTGGGTGCATCGGCCGGCCCTGTTGGTCCCCCTTCTCTTTTCTCTCTGTCTCTGATCGATCCATCTCTGCAACTGCAAGTGTACAACACACTCAAGCATGCTACAGGTCCTCGAGTCCTCGACTCAAAAGCCACAGGACAGGAGCCAGAGCCACCGAGCCAACCAGGCTAGATCCCAGACTACGAGTCTAGCAGCATGGCCTTGGGTGGCACAGAGCTCGGACCATCCTAGAGGCCGGCCGCAACCGTCTCCGTTCATCTCCAGCAGCTAGCAGATGATGCAAACAGTTGAACAAGAAAGAGTGGAAGAGTCCATTTCCGCGGCAGTAATCACGTACGGAAGCCTGAGCAATCGCAAATCACAGTACACAGCCAAAGCAGATCAAGACGGCCAAGTACTGTACGTCTGTACCTTGTTGGGCTAGGTGGAAATGAAGAAATCAGATCACAGCCAACGGCATCAAAACAGCTGCTGCTTTCCACATCGGAGTACTGTCATGGTACTCCAGTCCATGAGAGCAGCCAGAGATCAGGCGCCAGAGTATTATATCTGGTGCTTAGCTCAGCAAGGAATTTGATGCGCGCAAAAGGCCGTGATTGAAATGTGTTTTCCCATCTGGTGCTTTCTGCTTTGCTGGTTCCGTGCACATGATTCCCATCATGGACACTGGGATCACCGCGCACGCTTCGGGTGGACACCTGTCGACGTGCTACTGTGCTAGAGAGGAGTTTGTTTGTTGTCAGCCACACCAAGGCCTAAGCAAGCTTCAGGACGAACGAACCAACGGTGTTGTCGGTGACGGTCAGACGGTGCATCAGAATTCTGAAACAAACACCACCAGACCAGACCAGATCCGCATTGCCGCACCGCAAAATTCACTAGAGAAGGAGCTTTCAATGTTCCAAATTTACCATACACACAGAGGCGGCCGTCCCGTATACTACCTCTGTCCAGAAAAGAATGCCGTGCTAGTAAAAGTGGTTCACGTTTAATTAAATTTCTAGTGAATATTATTCGTATTTACAGCTCCAAAATAATTTATATTATAAAAATACATTTCATAAATAATCTAATGATATTTATTTGATATCATAAATATTAATATTTTTTTATCTATAATTGATCGAACTTAAGATACCAAATCATAACACTATGCTAGAACTGTATTCTTTCATGAACGAAGGGAGTATACAGGACGAAGCACACCAAACTATCTCCTCTCCTCAGATGGGAAACAAATCGATGAAAGTTACCGTGCGTGGGTCACAACGGGTAGTGAGTGATGCCACTCTGTAGTTAGTACCCATTGCCCGTACCCAAATCCGTATCCGTATTGTTTGGGTAGGATTAGAGGGCTATCCATTTGTTTGTGGTCTTGTGGATATATACCGTAGGGTACTCGAGGGTATTACCTGTTTAACCCGCTCTCACCAATTGTCAAGACGCTCAGCCCACGCAGACGAAGGGGGTTCGAGGGTGCATTGCTCCATGGTCAGCCTCAGCTTCTTCCGCGTGCTCCTGTCGATGTCGTCCTCGGCGCTGGCACCGGCCCGTGCGCCCCTCTTCATGCCCGCCGCCACCGACAAAAAAATGAAGGTATTGACGCAACCGGCCTAGCTAGAATATGCTCAATTTCAAATTATAAGATGTATTTTAGCTTTTCATATATATAGGTGGCTTTTACTGTACTCCCTTCGATTTAAATTACAAGACGTTTTAGCTTTTCTAAATTCATAACTTTTGCTATATATATCTAGATATATGTTATGTTTAGATTTATAGAAGAAGCTAGAATCTATAAATGCTAAAACGTCTTATAATTTGATACAGAGGAAGTACTTACATATACACTATATTTAAATACAAGATAAAAACATTGTTTCCGGAAAAGAAAAATGCCTTGTAATTCAAAATATAGAGGGAATAATAATGAGTTATTCTGTTCCTTCATGTTTATCGATCTAGTGGCCTTAGGCCATCCACAGTGTGAGTCGATTTTTCAAGGAGAGAGAAGATCATGTAAACTCCAACAGTGAGTCGATTCTAGTAATCTCCAGTGGTGGGTCAACTCTTTTTGTGGGCCAATTAAATAAAAAATTGTTTTTTTCTCATGAGCAGGACACATGCACAAGCGAGCCAGTGCTTTTCATTCTTCTCTCCTCGTCTTCTTTCCACATAAATGCTATTTTAATCTGTATAAATCGGTTCATGTTTCGTGGTCCGTTTCTGACACACTCCATGTATCGGTTTGCTACAGTGGTCTCTCCATCAACTTATACCAATTAAAATATTTCCATAAGTCGTTTTTAAAACACCACTGGAAATGCCCTTAGTGCATTTTGAGGGAAGTTCCTTTGAGTTTTGTTTCGGTGGTCTTCTCAAAAAATTTCCACCAATCTTAAACTAGATAATTAATTATATATTTTTTTAATTTCGTCCGGGCTGGCCTTGGCCCTACCCGCCAAACAAACTCTACATGTAGCCCAGGTTACAGTGATGCTGCTCGTGTTCGTTTCCTCAATCATGTGTTGGCGCTCTGCTCTCATTGCTCTACTTGTTTCGCTGGTACATCATTTCTCTTTAATCGGTAGTGTTGCCCGTTTAAACGCCCCTTTTGCTCGAATAATGGCTAGATGGCAAGTGATTGATTGTTTACTGCTAATTATAATTAGTCAAAGTTAATCATCTGGACCTGGACTACACAAAAACGCTAGTGGAGCAGTCATTTGGACCGTAGTGGATGCTGCCGGGATTCAAAGTAGTTGTGTTAGACTACGTGGCTGTTTGCACCCTGCTGCATATATGCGTGCTCTGTTATAATTAGCCTACGTTAATGACCAAGTGACATAGATGACAATACAAGTATTATGTAACTACATCATACTTAATACTATTGAGTATGAATATGTGTCACTCGATCATGTTCATGTCACTTGATCCTACCTACACACACACCATAATCCGTGTGCTACCGTCTAGATTTTCTTGTCGCGCTAAACTCCATAATTCATTGTACTAAAACTTAACTAAATTTAGTAATTTGTAAAACTTAATTAAATATATTAAACGAGGGGTGTATGCATATGTGCGGTAGTGTGCTTGCAGCCAAACACGCTAATGTGAATACTTTGAAAATTTATCCAGGGCAGGGGACCAATGCCCACTATGTACGGTCCTGACGATGCAACACTAGCGCTTCTACGTAGTCCGGACGATCAACATCGATTTGTTATAATAGATAATGAGAGTTGTTGCTAGCAAATAAGTACCAAAATGAGTCCATCAAAATTCAAACAATTTCAAACTAGTCACCATAGGATAGAGCATGATTGAAGAAAAAAGAAATCTAAAACTAGTTTTATAATTTTCCGAGCTAAAAAATTTCTATGAATTTTCTATGATTAAACTAGATTTTAGGATTTTTAATTCTATTATTTTCCGTGGATAATTTTTTCAAAATTTATTTTAATGAATTTTTTGATATTTTTTAGAAAAAGATTGTAGTCTAATTTACCTCCCTGAACTTTTAACTTAGTTCAATTTACCCTCTTCTGACATGGCACCACAACAATACCACTATTAAAAGCGTTCAGGGTTAAAATAAACTGTTTTAAAAGTTGAGGGGAGTAAAAAAACTGATTTTCTAGACAAGGGGGTAAATCGGACAGCCACCGAAATTAAGAGGGGTTAATAGGATCTTTTTCAATTAATTATATCTAATTTTTTTGGAGCAAAATTAATTATATCTCATGGACAAAGGGAAGAGGAGAGGTGGGCTGGAGCAGAGTCGGCTAAGCCGAAAGGGAAGAGAAGAAGGTGGGCTGGTGCAGAGGAAAAAGGAAACAGGAAGCGGGCCGAACTGGGATGTGGTTTGGGTCTGATTTGGCTTAGACAGGAAAAGAAAATGGACGTTTCTCAACAAAAAAAGAAAAATAAAATGGACTTATCCCTTTTAGGATTTATAGACGAGTGAATTCAATTCAAATGGTTTCACACGCAAATGGATTTTTAGTGCTGCATTTAAATTCAAGGAAATCTTAAAAGATGTAAATGATTT